TGCCCAGAAAAGTGTTCCATGCCCCCCACTGAAGCACACCGTGATGAGAAGGTGGTCACAGAGGGCGAAGGTATCCAGACTTAACAGAACCCACCAGCAACCATCCTTGTACATGCAGATCAAACCCACCACAGAAAATCTTCCTTCTACTGCTTTATTAAGAAACCTTTGTTTCCTCTATACATCCTGTTAATTATTAGAATGTTCCTTAAGTTGCTTTTGTACGATGAGTTTGTTTGAATTCCATTTTTTTTCAAAAGGAAGGAAAAGGAGGGAAACCAGCCAGCCAGCCAGACTCTCTGGTTTTCTCTAAGAATTCACCCAAACTTCCCCTCTAGGCATACGAGCTTCATAGGCCCCTCCAGCTGTATGGGAGCTACAGCTGTGGAATGAGGAGGAAAGCCAGGGCCTCTGGCTCCGAAAGACTACTCAGTTTACCTAAGGTGGGCTAACTGTTTCCAATACCCCTGGCTCCCCTCAGGACTTCTTGATAGCAAGTGTGATTCACTGCTTTTTCCCTTATCTCTAGCACAGTGCTCAGAACACTGGAGACACCAACATTTCCTGGATTAACAAATGAATTTGACAAAGCAATACCATTAGAACCTGGACCTAGGGCTTCTACCCCCGGTTCGCCCTTTCCTCCCCACCAGTCACCCTGTAAAGACTTAACTGACTCCTGGAGGTTAGGGTAGGGCGGATAAGGAATGCGTGGGCAAGAGCAATGCTCTGTGAGCCCAACAACAGGCTGGGCTGAGACTAAACCGCCCTTCCTGGCTGCACTTTGAGTGACGTCAGTGGCTGGAATGGCCCTCGGGATGGCAGAAGGTGGGATCAGCAGTGTGAGACAGGAGAGCTTTCACTCCATGGCTCCCTCCTGCCCTCTGCAGAATTTCCAGTTCTACCTGCTCCGCTCCTCCCATTCCCCACCCATCTCCCCAGTACAAGGGAAGGTTGTGCCCCGCCCACCCAGGGCTAGCTCCAAGGGCCTGGCATCAAGCCTCCTGTCAGCCAGCTGCTTCCTCCTGTCCTACCCCCAACATTGCAAAACTAATGCCACAGCCGGACTTTAGACAGAAACCCTGCTTATCAGGAAGTCCCAGACAGATGAACTCTGAGTTTTCAATGCCTGGAAAAGCCCAGTACGCATCCACTCACGTGGCTTCCCACAACCCACTCCCCCCAACACTGCACCCTCTTTCACAATTACATCTGCCAAGTGGTCATCCAGATCTTTCCTGAACCTCTGAAAAGGAAGCAAGCCTGAGTTCAGAGGTCCCCAAGGTCTCTCCTCAATACTAACAGATGTGAAAAATAAGCTCCATTATTTCCTACTCAATCATGCAAAATGGGTATAGTTTTTCAATCCATCTTTGAGCAAAGGCGTCAGCCCTTTCAGTGTCCACAGAATAGGTGGCCCTTGATCCGGTGACTTGGGGGAGGGGGGTGGGGGGTGGACAGTGGTGGGATCTTAAAGACCAAGAAGACCACGGGGGCACCTGGATGGCTCAGTTGGTTAAGCGACTGCCTTCAGCTCAGGTCATGATCCTGGAGTCCCGGGATCGAGTCCCACATCAGGCTCCCGGCTCATCAGGAAGCCTGCTTCTCCCTCCGACCCTCTCCCCTCTCAAGCTGTTTCTCTCTCTCAAATAAATAAACAAAATCTTAAAAAAAAAAAAAAAAAGACCAAGACCACAACACCCATGATGCCAATATGAAAAGATCTCCAGGGTATCCAAAGTGAAAAAAACAATGTGCCTGATGGAGTACACGTCTGTGGTGTATATCAACGTATTAACCTGTTCTAAGTATAAATAAAACTTTATTTTTTTAATTACAAGAGCTCTACCCCAAACCAAAACTAGCCTGGAGACCCCAGGCATGCCTAGGTCACAAAGAAACTAGAAACATCGTAAAGTCAAAGTGTCCTGGAGCCAGGAGGTACAGATGGAGGGGGGCACTGGAATCCCACTACCGGGCATTTCCCAGTTCCTAGTTCCACCTGGCTGCCTGACTGCCTGGCAGTCGTCAGCCGCTAGGGTTTCAGGTTTCGAGGGAACAATTCTTTCCTGGGAGTAAATTCAACCGGTGGTAGAGGGAGGGGAAAGGAGAATTGACTCACCCATGTGCAGTTTGAGGTAAAGCTAGCAAAGCTGAACAGCAAAGGTGGAAGGGCTTGAGTCAGAAACATCGGAAGAGAAGACAAGCACTCAGACTGACCCACACACGGGGCAGCAGCTCCTGTCTTCTGGACTGGGGATCCCCCAGTCAAGTGGGATGGGAGAAAAGAACCAGGGTTCCAACCCAGGCTCCCCCTTCTTCCCCGTGGTTACACCAAAAGTCCTCCTATTCACACATGACCCTGCTATAAGCAGAAATGCCTCTCCCTGCCTGGGAGATTGCTGGAAACTTTTCTAAGTGCAGGTTCCCCAGGAAGAGGGAGACCGTGCTTTTGGTCACTGGTTGTGCTTTTCCCAAGCCCAGTTCCCTCAGTGTTTGGGCTACAATCCCTGCCCCAGCAGCTCAGGCTTTCCTCTCCACAAGGCTTCCCAGGGCTGGCGTTGGGCCTTTGCTTGAACTTGATCATATCCTGCCCTTTGTTCTTCCTCCCTGATGGCAAAGCCCACAATGAGCAACAGCCGTGGTGGGAGAAGAGACAACACAAGGGCACCCACATATGCTCCAGACACCCCAAGGGCCAGAGGACAGACCAGACACCCAAGAAAGAGCCCTTACCTTTTTACCTTTGCCATTTGGGATCTAGGAGGAGGAAACCTTGCTTCCTCTGACCAACTCTCCTGGGGCAGCATTCTTTCCTCCTCACAAAATCCAAAGGGGTTAACAGCTGCCCAGTGATCGTCATCCCTTCATGTACATGTAATGTAGTTATTATCCTGGTCAACCCACAGGACACGCATTATTACTCCTGTCCACACACAGATGGAAAGACTGGGCACTAGCCTAAGATCACAAATAAGGCAGAGAGCCAAACTAGAAACCAGGCGAGGTCATCTGATTCCTATTTCCTTCCTCATTTTACTAATCAGATTCCTCCCCCCAGGTCCAGCCGGATTTAAATGTGATATGGTCAGTTCCGCCATCCCCTGGGCATGTCACTTCCCAGGACCCACTGTCCTGTCAAGCTAATGCAACATCACCTCAGGCTCCATCTGAATCCCCGAACAGACTAGAGGACACCCCCAAGCTCAGAATGGGGCTATCCCAACTCTTTCAGTGCCGGTATGGGCTACTGGGGGATGTCACAATGTAGAAAATGAGGAGAGGAGAAGGAAGAGGAGAAGGAAGAAGGTTGCCGGCTTCAGGAAGCTTGTAAGCCTGACACACATGGTCACAGATAGCATCACTGATGAGAAACTTCGCGGGGGGGGGTGGGAAAGCACTGTTCAGGACGAGGTTCTGTACCAGTAGGAGCACCACAAAGAACCAAAGAAGGACCATGAGTGTCATGAGCAGTTCTAAAATACAGGCAGAAGAAAGGTGGAGAATAGGAGAAACATGGAAACTGAATCAAAGAGGAAAGTAGAGGTATAGAATGAAAGGGACAAGTTAGAGAAGGTAAGAAAGTGGACCCGGGGGCGTTATGCCAAACTGATGTTTGAAATCATGGTTCCTGTGCCACAGGGTGCTTGAGATGCTGGACCCAGCAGTGGAAAAAGGAGAAGGGGCTCAGGAAACTTTGGTTCCATTCCCAGGTCCTTTCGTCAATCCGGAAAAGTCATTTCCCCTCTTCAGACCTGTTCCCGTATCTGTACAATAGGGATAGGGTTAGACTTGCCTCCGGTCCAGTTTACCCCAAGGGCTTATGTTTTTGTGATAAGGGACAAAGGAGCTGTCAATCCACCCGTCTAAGGGCAGGGAATCCATTTCCACCCTTCAAAACTGAGCAAAATGAACTGCCTTATAACCACCGATGCTGACTGTAACTGTTCGTTTCTTTTACACTTCCTAAAGCATGGACCTCGAGGGAAAAACAAAGATTCCTACAGATCACGTACTGACACAAGAACCCACAGAAGCACACTTACAGGCACTCATGAATCTGACAGATATACGTCCAGCTGGGGACACAGGGTGCCTAACTGGGTGACCCAAACCATACACTCAGTCCACCCAAACCTATCTATAGACAGAGGCATGGCCCAGCAAGTGAGCCTCATTGTTCCACAGGAAAGGGAGTTTACAAAGGAAACAAAAACTCCCAGAAGCGGTCGGGGGAGGGCAGAGTCCTGGCTGTGAGAAGGATCCAGCCAACCAACAGACAGGTCCTCCCCCTGGGAATAGTCACTCAGTCAACATTTTTATGAAGGACTCTCGAGGTAGCTACCCCAGAAAGGAACTTTAAGTGCTGTGCTCTGAGAAAGGTGAGATCTCACATTTATTTCCTTTCAGACTTTGCACCCAGACACTTTAGCCAGAGCAACCACCGCAACCCAAAGATCCGGGGGAGCTAAGGAGCCCCCTTCAGCAACAGCCAGGGAAAGAGATGTCCACCCCACCTGACCTCCATTAGATTTTCCGAGGGCCCTTCAGGAACAGGGCATTCAGGGGCCAGAGGAGTCAGGGGTGCGAGGCTCAGGCTTCTCTCGGGTGGTGCGCGGAATTCGTGTGCGTGTTGGAAGGCAGGATGGCCCTTCCCAGGTGCGTGCGGAGGGGTACGTCTGGGTCGATGTGTGCAGGGCCCTCGACAGTAAGTGAGGCTGGGAAAAGTGGGGCTACCCCATCCCTCGTTTTCGGCTACGTGCGGAAGCCGCGGCTCCCTCCCGGTGGGTGTAAGGGGACCTGTGTGGGGGAGGGGAGCCAGCCACCGCCAGGGTAAGGAGGAGGGGAAACAGGGGAGGGCTGGGGTGGAAAGGGGGACCAGGAGGGTGAGGCTGGCAGGTTTCTCAACTCCTCCCCTCCCGCGGGCGAGAGGCGTGGGAGCGCCTCCCTCCAACCGCTGACCCGACACACCGATTCCGCCCGAAACTCCGGGAACTTACACAGGATGGCCGATGTGAAGAGAAGCAACAGTTTCCTCCCGGTTCTCGCCTCCGTCCCCATGACGATCAGGGTACCGATACGACACGGCTGCTAGAGACCCGCGGAGAGACACAGCTTCACCCGCAGCCGCTCGGGGACTAAACTCCAGCCACCAGGTTGAGCTCCGCCCGGCTCCGCCCGCCCACGACGATTGGCCTGCGCCCCGCCCCTGCGCGTTCCGATTGGTGGAGGGAGCCGCCGCTCCCTTGAGTGACTCACCGTCGCCAGGTGCGACCTCGCCCACTCCTCCCCACTAGGACCGATTGGCGCCTTTCCAAGCCCGAGCCGCCTCCGATTGGCCCAGGAGACTGTCGCGTAAAGAGACCGGGCCTCACCTTCTGCAGGTGAGGACACCCTGATTGGGCGGCGTTCCTGAAGTAGGGACTTTCTGACTGGCTGGGTCCTGAGTGAGAGCTGGAGGTGGAGGGGAATACCTCGAAGGAGGAGGGAGGCAAAGTAGTCGTACTGCGGGGCCGCGGAGAGCTGCCTGGCTGCGTTTTCTGTGGTTTGTGTGTTTGGATGTAAACTGCTGGCGGCTACGGAAACCTTGGCCAGTGAAAACCACACATTCATATGCGAGGGTGCGGGGAGAGGACCGGGAGAGGAGTGGAATGATACCTGGAGACGAGCCTCGAACCATGAACCTCTGTCGACCCCATTGGCAGCATTAAGCTTTGAGGGGGACTATGCAGAGAGAAGGGGGGGGAAGGAGAGGGGAAGGGAGCCCTCAACCCAAAAGTGGGAAAAGCAGGATTGCATTCTCTCAAGAACTTTCAACACCCAACATGTACACCAAACACACCCAGGTAATACAAACTGACCTACAGACAGATGTTCTATAAATATCACTGTGAGTGGGCGCCTGGGTGGCTCAGTTGGTTAAGCAACTGCCTTCGGCTCAGGTCATGATCCTGGAGTCCCGGGATCGAGTCCCACATCGGGCTCCCTGCTCAGCAGGGAGTCTGCTTCTCCCTCTGACCCTCTTCCCTCTCGTGCTATCTCTCATTCTCTCTCTCAAATAAATAAATAAAAAATCTTTAAAAAAAGAAATATCACTGTGAGTGATTGCATTTGTCCTTTACACATGTTCGATGAATCAGCGGAGCCTTGCATTTCAAAATTGTTTCTCTTCTCTCTGTGCCTGATAGTTGGGTGCTAAGCCCCTCTTGCCATAGACTATGTTACTACTCAAACTTTCTGTTAATATTTATATTTTTGTGTCGCTTTTAATTGAAACTCAACACCTTCACTATTTCTAGCTTTTATTTTACAATGACTTAATTTTAACTGATCTTGCCTGTTGGAAAACTTCCTGAACATTATTTCACTGCAAGTAAGAAGCCCACACCTTTATGCAAAACGGTAGTATTCTTCGACCTTTTGCATCTCGCACCTTTGCTCCCAGTCCTTGGTCGACTTCTGGTTCCACTCAATTTAAAGCAATGGTTATCAAGCACCTAGTGGGTGTTGTAGGGAAGGAAATACAGATAAATATAAATCACAGTCTCTGACTTCAAATGGCTTACTATCTACTCCCAAGACTGATACAGGAAACAAGACAATATGTTACCAAAAGAAACCTCGTGTTACTAAATCGAAACAAACATTTGGGTGCCTGCCATGTGCAAAATTCTGTTCTTTACCCTCAAAGGAATGTAACGCCTTGAAGAGAGAGGCAGATACAAGGGAATGGAAGAGCCAGGGGAAGGAGCCAATCACGGGGCGGGGGGCGGGGGAGGGGGCGGGCTGTGAGTGTCAGAGAAAACTTCAAGATGGGGGAAATTGAGCAGGTTAGAGGAACTCCAATACTGATAAGGAGTTTTTAGGAGGAAGAGTCATCTTAGAGGTTATTTGGGTCATCCTCTTGCCCTACATAGGAAGGTCCATACCACCACAGAGTTTAAACAGCCTCTGCTTAAACTCTTCTGAAAATTCTCAAGGCAGACCATTCTGCTTTTTGTAGGGCTCTTTTTTTTTATTAAGGTTTTATCTATTTATTTGAGAGAGAGAGAGTGAGAGAGAGCACGAGAGGGGGGAGGGTCAGAGGGAGAAGCAGACTCCCCCTCCCCAGCAGGGACCTCCCACGTGGGGCTCGATCCCAGGACTCCAGGATCATGACCCGAGCCAAAGGCAGTTGCTTAACCTACTGAGCCACTCAGGCACCCTTTTTGTACAGCTCTTAACTGTTAAAATATCCTTTCTGGAATCTGCTTCCTGGTAACTTCAGCCTCTGCTCTCTGGAGTTACACAAAATAATCTCATTATTCTTTGCCAACGACAGCCCTTCCTTCAAGTATTTTAATATTCTTATTATGAGCCTTGTAAGTCTTTCCTTCTCCAAGCTAAACATCCTTAAATCCTTCAAAGAGTCTTCATACAGTATGGTTTCACAAGCCTCCCCCACCCCCGCCCCCCTACCCCCATCGCACCCCACCCCCTGTCTGGAGATAACCTCTTATATTTTACTGCCAAGATCTGAACTGAGCACTGGAGAAACCATCTCTCCATGAGATGGGCAGATCTCAATTCAAATCCATTCCCCCAGTTTCTAGCTAGTCCTTCGCCAGCTCACATCTCTGAAAATTTCTGCCTACAGAAGGTAGTTATGACAGTAATACCTTCTAGCAAAACAAGGATTAAATAATGTAACACACATAATATGCTTACACAGCAGCTGGTCCATTTTAAGCACTGACATGACGGCTATTTCCATCACTTGTACTTACAGCACAAGAATGCATTCACAAATATAATAGCCATATCACACCCCTGAGTTAGTTATAGTCAACTTGTGGCAAACTAAAACCCACAAGTCTTTTATTTTCACTCGGACGACTGTTAAGTCAGGTCTCTCACATCCTATACTTGTACAGTTGTTTCTTAACTAAAGTACATTTGCTTTTAACCTTATTTGATTTCATATTTTTTGCTTTGAAAATGAAATATTAATGTATAGAAAAGTAGACATAAAAATAATGTCCATGGTTAAAATTAAATGAAAAAAGTAAATACAAATAGTGTGCATCCCAGTTATTTCTATACAAAATATTTGTGTATACAAATATAAAGCATGAAAATAATTTTGGAGTATGCAAATGATTTGATACTCCAAGTTCCATAAAGCTGCTTACATAAATAGTAAGTTCATAAATCTCATTGTCATTGACATTTGTTGCTTGTAGTCTTTTTTAAATTCTTTTGGTGGGGGGGCAACCCAAATGGGACACAAATCTTATAGTCTTTTTTTTTTTTTAAGATTTCATTTATTTATTAGAGAGAGAGAGAGCACCATCAGGGGGACGGGCAGAGGGAGAAGGTGAAGCAGACTCCCCGCTGAGCAGGGAGCCTGAAGTGGGACTCAATCCTAGGATCTTAAGATCCTGACCTGAGCCAAAGGCAGACATTTAACCGACTGAGCCACCCAGGCGCCCCAATTTTCAGACTGGTGAGTTTGCCTGCAAAGTAGAAAATTCTGGAGAGGATTATTAAACATAAATCTTGATTCTGTCATCCAATACATTAGCATTTGCACCTGAATTTCTGTTATATGCAAGTTTCATAAACATGCTTTCTATAGCATAATCCAATAGGTTAATAAAAATATTGAACAAGGACGGAGTTGAAAACAGAATCCTGAAGTGACCTCTTTCCAAGCCAGCATGGTACACTCCCAACATTCTAGGTATTGATATTCCCAGATGTTCCTGTTGAGAGATGCCACATTTCTGTCATATATTTGTCTTATGGATACCTTGAATTTTATAAGCAATCCTGTTAGTCATTTTGCTTTGGTCTCTAGGAAAACCAAATTCATATCTGCAATTCAAGTCCAAAAATTGATATACATTCCTGACTCCGCCCAACTTTATCCTGACTATGCTCTGCCATTTTCCCTTAGGCTTGACATATTTTTTAAAAAAATCCTTTATCCTTGGGGCGCCTGGGTGGCTCAGTTGGTTAAGCGACTGCCTTCGGCTCAGGTCATGATCCTGGAGTCCCGGGATCGAGTCCCACATCGGGCTCCCTGCTCAGCGGGGGGTCTGCTTCTCCCTCTGACCCTCTTCCCTCTCATGCTCTCTGTCTCTCATTCTCTCTCTCAAGTAAATAAATAAAATCTTTAAAAAAAATCCTTTATCCTTTTTGAAATGTAAAGTTTTGTGCACGTACAAACATGCATAGTGATATGCTTCCCTTCAGGAATAAGGACTGACTGCCTCAGTTGTTGGCTTCTTTGGGAGTTCACTAAAGAGAGGCACCTAGTCCAAAGGCACACCCCTTCCCAGGGTCACCTATATCTAATAACTAATCCTCGTGTGTCATTCATGGGTCATCTTGAAACTTCTTTCAACTTGAAAGAAGTTTCAATGGAGTAGTGGGGTAGGCAATAAAACCTGCATGGAGTAGGCTAAGGAGAGAATGTAGATTAAGGAAGTAAAAAAAAAAAAAAAAAAAAAGCAAGTAAAGACAGTGACCACAAACAGTTCAAAGGGGTTTTGCTGGGAGGGCAGCAGAGAAAAGGAGCAGCAACCTGGAGGGCAGGTGGAGGAAGTCAGAGTAGGTATTTTGTTTGCATGGAAATACCGTATGCTAATAGCAATGATCCAGCAGAGAGAAAAAAACATCCATGCTGTATGAGAAAGAGGGGACAGTTGCAGTACCGAGTTCTTAAGGAGAGAGGAGATGAGATGCTCACGTTGAGCATTAAAAGGGAACAGAGCTAACCATCCTCCGCAACGAGAGGGAAATGCATGGTACAGGTGGTTCGTTTGTTCGTGGGGAAGTGACTGCTTTCTGTTCTTAGTGAAGTATAAGGCAACGTCATTTGCAAAGAGTGCAGAGGGAAAAGGAAGCTCAGGAAATCTAAAGAGTGGGGAGAGCTTTCTGTACCAATAACACTTCCACAAATATGGTGAGTGTTTCTAGAATCTGCCAGACTTTCTGTGACAAGTGTGGTGAGCACCAGCCTACAAAGTGACGCAGTATAAGGGCAAAAGATCTGTAGGCTCAAGGGAAGCGGCATGATGACAGGAAGCGAAGTG